TAGGTTCGCGTCGTGTGGACCGGCGGCGACCCCGCCGCCGGCGTTCAGCCTGGAACGCCGCTGGCGGCCCAGGTTCCTTCGTGGTTGAACGATCTGACTTTGCGGAAACGGCCGATCGTTCAACACCCAGACATGATGGCGTCGTAAAAAAATCAGGACGGGAGGTTTTTCTCTATTTTCGACCCCTGGGGGCCCTCGCCGGGCCTCGGGACCGTCAAAAAACGACTCAGGACGAAAAACCGGCCCCAGGGAAAGGGTCTAGATTTCCAGGGGCGCCGTCCTGAAAAAATCAGGACGTCGCATGTCTGGGCATGGAACGATCCCCACGGTGTCAGAGACCAACGCCGAAGTCGACACGACACGAACTTGCCATAAGGATGCGCATCGGTCTGTTCTGCTCCCCATCCTTTCCGCATCGCAGGTTCCCGAGGTCGAGAGCGAGGGCGCCATCTTCGTTGCATCCCATCCAGGCGCAGGTGCGGCAGACGGCATGGCGTCGCTGCCAGGATCCGGGGGCAAGATGGGGAGGCAAAAGGAGGAGGAGGAGGAGGAGGAGGAGGAGGAGGAGGAGGAAGTCCATGGCCAGGGCCGAGGACACCCAGACACAACAGCGAGCCCCCAGACTTGCCAGGGAGAGGCGTTTCATCCTGACTTGGTTTTTGGCCACCCCAGGGCCTGCTGAGGGCCGCCAACCTTTGCCAATAACTTCCCGTCGTGCTTTGTTGCACGGCGCGAGGACGTCGGAGGAGGCGGAGCCGCAGGATCCGCTGACCTGTTTTTGTTTCCGCCCCGCGGCCGCAGAGTTCCCGAGCGCTGCCCCTGGGGGTAGCGTTTCGTCCCCGGTCCTCTCCTGATGGCCCCATGGGCTCGGAAAAGGGGCCCCTCGAGACCGACATTGGGGAGCAATGGTGCCAGGACCTCGAGCAGCCCACACCGTCGGAGATCTGGGGGGGAGAATGTTGGCATCGCGCAAACGTGCTTCTGCTGTGTGGCGGGCGCACTTTGACCATACCGCCTGGGTGGCGATATGGTATGAGGGTATGAGCTGTGTGTGCTCATGCTCTGCTCGGGCGTGCGCATCCAAGGGGGGAGGGGGGCGCATGGCACTGGCAGGTCCTCCTGCGTTCCAGGGCTGCACAAATCACACCGTTGGAGATCTGGGGGCCAAGACCCCCGACGTCAGGAGCTGTGCATAGCGAGGACCCCCGCAGGCATCGACCCATTCCCCAGGACGTGCTTTTCATCCCGAGTTGATTTTGACGGTCCTGGGGCCCAACGAGGACCCCCAGAGACCGAACACGGCCAAACATTTCCCGGCGTGGTTTTTTTTCACGACGCGAGCAAGGTTGGGGATTTTTTTACCTAACAGCGAAGACTGATAGGTTTCTAGTGGTCTCAAGAGAGAGCATCATGACTCCCCAGGGGGGTCTGGGCAGATGCCGGACGGGTGCCGGGGAGAATCCGCGGAAGTCGTTTTAAGCAAACAGTTACACACTTCGTGGTCTTCGAGGTCCCAGAACTCTATTCCTGAGCATGATTTTGAATGCCCGGAGCCAACTGTAGGCCACTTCGTGGTCTTCGAATTCCCCAAACTCCATTCCTGGGCATGATTCTGAATGAGCCAACTGTATGCCATTTCGTGGTCTTCGAGTTCCCAGAATTCCATTCCTGGGCATGATTTTGAATGCCCGGAGCCAACTGTAGGCCACTTCGTGGTCTTCGAATTCCCGGAACTCCATTCCTGGGTATGATTTTGAATGCTCGGAGCCAACTGTAGGCCACTTCGTGTTCTTCGAGTTCCCAGAACTCCATTCCCGGGCCACATTTTGAATGCTGAGGCAGGCTGAGGCTGAGGCAGGCTGAGGCTGAGGCTGCAGGCTGAGGCTGCAGGCTGAGGCTGAAGGCAGACTGAGGCTGAGGCTGAAGCAGGCTGAGGCTGAGGCTGAGGCTGAGGCTGAGGCTGAGGAGGCTGAGGCTGAGGCAGCAGGCTGAGGCTGAGGCCGAGGCTGAAGGCAGACTGAGGCTAGGCTGAGGCTGAGGCTTTGAGGCTTGCTGAGGCTTGGCAGCTGAGGCTGAGGCAGGCTGAGGCTGAGGTGGCAGGCTGAGGCGGAGGCTGAGCTGCTGCAGGCTGAAGGGCGTAGGCTGAAGGCCGAGCCGGCCGAGGCTGCTGAAGGCAGGCCTGAGGCTGAAGGCAGGCTGAGGCTGAGGCTGAGGCAGGCAGGCTGAGGCTGAGGCTGAGGCAGGCTGAGGCTGAGGCAGGCTGAGGCTGAGGCTGAGGCTGATGAGGCAGGCGCTGAGGCTGAGGCTGAGGCTGAGGCTGAGGCTGAGGCCGAGGCTGAGGCAGGCGAGGCTGAGGCAGCTGAGGCTGAGGCTGAGGCTGAGCAGGCTGAGGCTGAGGCTGAGGCTGAGGCAGGCTGAGGCTGAGGCTGAGGCAGGCTGATGAGGCTGAGGCAGGCTGAGGCTGAGGAGGCTGAGGCTGAGGCTGAGGCGACTGATGCTGAGGCTGAGGCAGGCTGAGGCTGAGGCTGAGAGCCGCAGGCTGAGGCAGGAAGCTGAAGGACTGAGGCTGAGGCTGAAGGCTGAGGCTGAGGCTGAGGCTGAGGCAGGCTGAGGCTGAGGCTGAGGCAGGGCTGATGAAAGGCTGAGGCTGAGGCTGAGGCTGAGGCTGAGGCTGATGCAGGCTGGGCTGAGGCAGGCTGAGGCCGAGGCTGAAGGCAGACTGAGGCTGAGGCTGAAGCAGACTGAGGCTGAGGCTGAGGCAGGCTGAGGCTGAGGCTGAAGCAGGCTGATGCTGAGGCAGGCTGAGGCTGAGGCTGAGGCTGATGCAGGCTGAGGCTGAGGCAGGCTGAGGCTGAGGCCGAGGCTGAAGGCAGACTGAGGCTGAGGCTGAAGCAGGCTGAGGCTGAGGCTGAGGCAGGCTGAGGCTGAGGCTGAGGCAGGCTGAGGCTGAGGCAGGCTGAGGCTGAGGCTGAGGCTGATGCAGGCTGAGGCTGAGGCAGGCTGAGGCTGAGGCCGAGGCTGAAGGCAGACTGAGGCTGAGGCTGAAGCAGGCTGAGGCTGAGGCTGAGGCAGGCTGAGGCTGAGGCTGAGGCAGGCTGATGCTGAGGCAGGCTGAGGCTGAGGCTGAGGCTGATGCAGGCTGAGGCTGAGGCTGAGGCTGAGGCTGAGGCTGAGGCCGAGGCTGAAGGCAGACTGAGGCTGAGGCTGAAGCAGGCTGAGGCTGAGGCTGAGGCAGGCTGAGGCTGAGGCTGAGGCAGGCTGATGCTGAGGCAGGCTGAGGCTGAGGCTGTGAGGCTGAGGCGACTGCCGTTGCCACTGCGACCTGTCATCGCGAATGCGACTGCGACTGCGAGAACAGCTGAATTCTACAACTGGATTCTCATCTGAATCTTAAGGGGAATGCTTCCAGATATGCTCCTACACATCGCTCTTAGGTTGCTTTGCCGGGATCATTTTTTTCACGACGCGAGCAAGGCTGGGGAGGAGGGGGTGCGCCATCGGCGCCGTCGGGGCGGCGCGTCATCGCCATCGCCGCCATCGGGGAGATGATTGAGTGAAGGAGGTGGAGGAGGAGGAGGAGGAGGAGGAGGAGGAGGAGGAGGAGGAAGAGGAGGAGGAAGAGGAGGAGGAGGAGGAGGAGGAGGAGGAAGAGGAGGAGGAAGAGGAGGAGGAGGAGGAGGAGGAGGAGGACCAGGAATCACTCGCGTCCGCACTGGCAGCAGCCTGAACTTATATTGTCAGAAGCCTGAGTCGGCGCTTTCAGCCACTTGTTTCCCGAGCAACGCAACCAGCCTGGCCTGCATGCCCGCCCAGTGCGACACAACAAGTGGGCGACCACGGAGCCCACGGCGGCGCGCCATCGCCGCCGTTTTCGAGCCCCCGGGCAGGCGACCCCGCCGACCTCGCGGAGGACCTGCGCGAGGGCGAGGCTCCGTCCAGGGGCCCCCCCGAGCGCGAGGCGCCGCTCAGCGAGGACCGCTGGGAGGGCCCGGGGCGAGGCCGCGGCGGTGCTCTCCGGCGCGGGTCGGCCGCGAGCGCGCAGGTAAAGGGGGCGCTCCAGGGAGGGCCTCGCGCCTCCGAGCGTCGAAGGGGCTGCCGCCTCTCCCTAAGGGCTCCCCCGAGGGCGCGAAGTTATTCGCGCTTCGCGGTCCTCGTTCCTTCTCCCCCTCCTCCTCGTCCTCCTTTTCTCCCTTTGGGGGGGCGGCGCGAGAGCGCGAAGTTATTCGCGCTTCGCGCTTCGCGGAGCGCGAAGCGCGAAGTTGGGAGCCCTAGCGGAAGGCGGCGGAAGCAAAACGAGGCCGCCCGCGCCGGCCTTAAGGCTGGCGGAAGCCGGCCGTCTAATCAGGCCTTCCAGACGGGGTCGTAAAACAGGGCCAGGATCGGGATGCATCGCTCCGGAGCGTTCCGGAGCGCTCTCGGAGCGTTCCAGAACGCTCTGGAGCGGCCGCGGCGCCCAATACATCCTCCAAACCCGCCGATTCTCAGAGATTTCAAGTTATCCCCATCCGATTTTGTCCCGATCTTCGTGTCGTTTTAGGTCGAAGCAGATGGGGGTCGGAGGACTGTGCCGCATCGCTGGTGCATAGGCCGCGCGGCTCGACGTGGTTCTTCTGAAGACACCTCCGCTTGAAACTCGTGCCGACATGCCCAAGAAGGCCATACCCAGAACGAGCATGCCCGAAGAGTGCACCCGCCCGAGCTGGCCGGCGAGGACCGCAGGAGGGCCAAGTCGAGGTAACGGCGGCGCCCCCTGGCGTTGGTGGTGGACGTGGTAATGTATCCATTGCCGCTTCAGTTCGGGTGGAGAGCTGAGTCCAGGTAGAGGTAAAGCCCAGTGTTCTCTGACAGCGGGAGGCCGCTTTCCCAACGGTTGGGCCTCATTTGGCCCCCTCAAAGACACGGCCGCTCTAAGCTCGTTCAGGCATGCCCAAAGAGACCATACTCCAGATTTCGTAATATAGAAGGGAGGGGTCTGGACCCTCCAAGACAAGCCTTTTCAGACCTCCCCCGTGGGAGAACCCTCCAAAACATCGTCCCCAGACCCCCCCAGGCCCTCCAAGATAGCCTGGAAGAGACCCCCCCCCGAAATGAGACCCCCCTCCCTTTTCTTACGAAACCTCCTGGAGTGCCCAAACCGCACGTACCCGAAAAGTACACACGCCCGCGCTGCCCAGGGAGCACCGCAGGAGGGCCCGGGTCGAGGCAACGGCGGCGCTCTCTGGCGACGGGTCTTCTCTCCCAGGCCCCCGGCGTCTCGCCAGAGATCGACATCTAGGTTTTCCATCGTTTTCGGCCTCGCGGGGCCCTCCCCAGGCCCCAGGACCGTCACACATCAGAGCGTGAATTACCTACCCCGCTTTCGCTTCCAGGCAAAACCAGGTCATACCACGCGCCTCCTCGTCAAGCGGCCTGACCAGTACAGGCCGTAGTTTGGCATCGTTTGGTATCCCTTGGAAGCGAGGGTGGTCAAAAGCGAGGTAGGTTTGTTTTCCCCCTAACACAGTTATTTGGGATGAACAACCAGACGGTCCTGGGGAATGAGCCCTGGGGGGAGGGAGCGGGCGAGAGGTCGGGGGCCCGTGCCTTGAAAAAAAATCGAGGCGTCGCATGTCTGGGTTTCTGGGCATCCCCTCGGTACGATCGAAATGGGTACGGAAAGAAGGGCACGATGACCGACAGCAGTTCCTGTCCATCTTGAACAGGATTCGCTGTCGGCATCGCCGCGGACGTTGTCCGTTTGATGCAAACCGTCGCCTGCTCAACAGCGGCCGCTGTCGGTTCTGAACAACATTTGCTGTCAGGCATCGTGCCCATTTTTTTGTGTCCGTTGCCGCTTCACGCATCCAAATCCCTGAGATATTTTTTTTCACGCCAGGGCGCTTTCGCTGGGCCCCAGGACCATCACAGATCGATCCAGCTCGAAGAGAGCAGAAAGATGGGGTCTGTGGCTCCAGACATGCTCGCGTCGTGAGAAAACACGACGGGAAATTTGAATTAGTTGGCCGTCTTCGCCCTTTGGGGCAATTTGGTCGGAATTTGCAGGGCACCGGGGTCGTCAAACAAATATTCAGGACGACACATTGGCGGAGTTCTGGGACGGCGGTTCTGCCTGTCGTTGTTCGTCCTTCGGTAGTCCCTCGTTTTTGTTGCTGTTGTTTTCGTCGATACCTGTTGGTTTTCCTGCCTCGGGATGCCTTCTGTAGGGAAACAACAAGTGGCATAAACATAACAGCTCCGAGGTCCGCGCGGATTGCTCGGATCGGCGCTGGACCCCCCTCCCTGGCGCACGGAGCGCGCCAGGGGCGGCGCCGGAGGCGCCGCCGGGGGGCCCCAGCGCCGATCCGAGAAATCCGCGCGGACCTCGGAGCTGTTATTCAGAGCGTGAATTACCTACCTCGCTTTCGCTTCCAGGCAAAACCAAGCCATACCACGCGCCTCCTCGTCAAGCGGCCTGACCAGTACAGGCTGCAATTTGGTATCGTTTGGTATTGCTTGGAAGCGAGGGTGGTCAAAAGCGAGGTAGGTTTGTTTCCCCCTAAGTTATGTTTATGCCACGTGTTGTTCCCCGAGGGATGCCCTCCAGCCGCTGCGCCTCGTCGAGAGCGTCCCGAGGGGTGCCCTGATGGTCGCAGGCGGTCGCCGGGGGCCCGAGGGCCGGCCCGAAGAGGCCGTCAAGGGTCCGGGTCGACGGCGGCGCTCCTCTCGGCGCGTGCTCGTCCCTTCTCCCTAAGGGCTTGTCGACTCTTCGCCGATCGACTTGTGGGGATCGAGCCAGACAAATCCAGGTAAATGCAGATAAATCGAGGTACGTCCAGGTAAGTCGAGATAAATTAGGGTAAATCCAGGTAAATCCAGAGATCTCCAGGGAAAGTTGGAGCAATTCGCGGCCGCTCCAGCGCGAGTCGAAGGATGGCAGAAGTCGTTAAGCCTTTAACGACCTTCTGGGCCTTCTGGAGCCGAGGCCAGGAACATTCAGGAGGGGGGAAAAACACACAGACACAATTCGTCGTCGATCCCCAGGAAGATGCAGGAAAATATGGGAAGTGTGGGGGGGGGGGGGGGGAACATGGGGAATCCAGCCCCAAACTCTGGAGTGGAGGCCAGGAACATGTCCAATACTGTGTGATGGGGGAATCAAAAAGTGGGGAGGTCCGCGCGGATTTCTCGGATCGGCGCTGGGGCCCCCCGGCGCCGCTTCAGCGCCGCCCCTGGCGCGCTCCGCGCGCCAGGGAGGGGGGTCCAGTGCCGATCCCAGAAATCCGCGCGGACCTCCGAGTTTTTTATGTTTATGTCTTTTTTTGTTCCCCTATCAGTGGCAAATGGCAGCCCCAAAGCGGTGTGTGTGTATATATATATGTGTATGTTTTACAGCACTTGCCGCCCACATAATTGGCCAGCAAGTTGTATTATACGCATTTGTTGTGGAATGTTTGCGAAGGCCTGAGGGACAGGGCCCAGATACCTTAGTGTATACACGCGCGGTTCTCACTGGAGTCGAGGAAACACAAGTTGCATAAACACAAGATTTCGGAGCTCCGCGCGGATTTTTTGGATCGGCGCTGGGCACCTATAGCGGCATCTCGCGCGTCACCCTTGTAGTGGCATCCAGCGCCAATCTATGAAATCCGCGTTGACACCGGAAAGTGTGTGTTTATGCTATGCCGTTATTTGTTCCTCTACGGAGGCTTCTTGTCGCCACGGCTGCGGGACCACTTGCGAACCGTACTCTTGTGGGTCAAGTCGACGCTGGGGTATGGGACACCCTGGCTGGGGTTGGCCTGGCTGCAGGCATCGTTCGAATCTTGAACCGTCGTCGGCGTCTCAGAAATCGCACCTGCAGGGATAGTATTCACATGTGGCTGCTTGGCGGCTGGATCTGCCTCGCCAGACGGGTCCAGACGGACCCCTGGAGGGGTCCAGGGGTGATTTCCGAGTGGATATTGGGACCGGCGGGAGCGTCGTCGTTGTCTCAGCTTTGTGCCTGTAATGTATGCTGTATGGTTTAGTGCGCACCGCAACGAACCCAGCACGTAGCGCATGTGATGGCTTCGTCTGGTGTTGCGCTTGGTGTGCCGTGCAGTTGATTGGTATGCTGTGTTTGCGACTTTGTGCGGTATGTGCAGCTTGCGGGACAACCTGGGGCCCATCTTATTTTGCGCTAACCTGGTTGTGGGTCAGAGGGTCGGAAAGGGCACTCAGACCGCGAGCCTATGTCTCCCCAAGCTGCCCCCCCCCATGACAGGAGGAGATGCGGCTGCGCGTGCGGCAGTCGATCGACGAGCTGGTCGCCCCGGGCGCGGGCGCCCCCGACGGCCTCGCGGCCTCCGCGCAGGAGCTCGAGCTCGGGGGGCAGCTGACCCCTGCGCAGCTGTTCTACAGCGAGAACCGCGAGCGGCTGGTGGCGCGGGGGGGGGACTCCGCCTCGTGTCTCCGATCCCTAACCCCAATGGGCTGGGCCCCCACCATCGCACCGCCCCAGTTGGAGAAACACCCCTCGAAACCAGAACGGGGGCAGCCCATATCGCCACCGAAGGGGGGTAGATCGGCCAGCGGGGAGAAGGCCACGGCAGTGGGGAGAGGGATCGGTGGAACGGTGCTCTGGGAGATCGAGAGATCGGGGCCGTCAGAGGAGGAGGATGCGGAGTCGGAGGCGGAGGCGGAAGCGGAGGCGGAGGAGGAGGAAGCGCAGGAGGAGGAGGAGGAGGAGGACAAACCCTCACACAGCCTCGCGCCGTGGACAGAAAGCACGGCGGGAGGCTCTCGGCAGTCTTCGGCCTCCCTCGCCGGGGCCAGGGCCGCAGAGAAGCGGCTTGGAATGAGAAGCCGGCCTTGGGAAGGAGGGCTCCGGGGTCTCCAGGGGCCCCATGTTGAAACAACCAGGACAGCGCATGTCCAGGAGATTGGGAGAGGAACATATGCCGAACCCCGTGCTCATCCTGGAGATCCCATGCCTGCCATGTGCGGTCGGAGCAGATGGGGTCGGAGGATCGCACCGCATGGGACCCCACCTGGGGATCCCTCGCCGCCACGGCTGGATTCTCCTCGAAGTTCTGGTCAGACAGCACTGGAAGAGATTTGGTCCAGAGCACACGGCTCACGACTGACTGACTGAGGGCGGAGGAACAAGGGCGGGAGCATGGTGCCCGGTGGCGCCCAATAGGGGGGTGAAGACTAGTGTCTAGGGCTCCGCGCACACTGGTGAATCATGACCAGGGCCACGACATTTTTCGGAGGGGGAGGAGGAGGAGGAGGAGGAGGAGGAGGAGGAGGAGGAGGAGGAGGAGGAGGAGGAGGAGGAGGAGTGAAGGTAGGAGGAGGACGGAGGAGGAGAGGAGAGGAGGAGGAAGAGAGGAGGGAGGAGGAGGAGAGGAGGGAGGAGGAGAGGAGGCGGAGGGAGGGGGGTGGAGGGAGGGAGGGGGGGGAGGAGGGGAGGAGGAGGAGGAGGGGGGGGGGGGGGGGGGGGGGGGAGGAGGGGAGGAGGAGGAGGAGGAGGAGCCCCCTCCTCTTCTTTCAGCGCGTCCATCCGGCCCCCCCTCGTCCGCTCCCCCTTCTTCGGCGCACCCGAGGTCTGGGGCAGGGGGGCAGCGGGCGAACCTCCTGCTGCTGTTGCGTTCTCGGTGCATGGTGCCCGGTGCGTCAGCGCGGCTGGAGTGCGCAATGGCAGAGGAGGGGGATGAGGAGGGATGAATCTGATTAGGACCAGGAGGAGGAGGAGGAGGAGGAGGAGGAGGAGGAGGAGTAGGAGGAGGAGTAGGAGGAGGAGGAGGAGGATAACCATTATGACGAGGCAGGCGATAAGGGGAATAACGAAACACATGGAAGGACGAGCGCGAGGGACGGGGAAGACAAGTAGGAGGGATGGGAGGGCGGCGGGCGAGGCAGTTGGTGATGTGCCCGCGCAAGCTGCCTAGACATGCGATGTCCTGCACGGCTTCCCGGAAGTGCCCGTTTTGCGAGGGCCCCCGGAGGCCAAAAATTGCCAAGAACTTCCCGTCGTGATGTTTTCATTTCGCGAGCCTGTCTTCGTGGTGGGACTGCCCAGGAGACGTGCGAGGATAGGTCGTTGGCCGCTGCGGAACGGGCACTCACCATCGTGTGCGGCTCCGCATTCGTGCAGCACGGTCTGTTTGCTCATGTTAAAATCCTGGCGTTTTGCTTCAATCTCGCCCTCATAGTGCCCGTTGCTAGGCCCCAGGACCATCAAAGACAGATCCGGGACGAACAAGGCTGCTCCCGGGGGAGGTATCGGGCAATTTGGGGCCGCGCACTGCAGAATGACATCGTTGGATGCATGGGGTCCTTGCCACTGTCCAACTCTGAGGCCCAGAGCGCCCCGAGCGCGCTGCTGGATTCGGCCGATGACGCATTAGGCTACCCGGGGGCGGCCTCCGTGTGCTGTCTGTGCGCAGCGCCAAGCCTCCCCGCTGCGAGCCCCTCACCCTAACGTTAAGTCGGGCCTGTCCCACTCAAGGGGGATTTTGGACAAAAAATATTGTTTTGTCAAAACATGCCCCCAAAATGCTCAAAAATGATAAACACAAATCGTCCCCTGACTATTTTTTGACTATTTTTGAATATCCCCCCTGCAGAGGGACAGGCTCGACTTAACTCCAACGCCCCAACGCCTCGAAGGACACCGCCGGGCATTCCGCGGGCATCCCCGCGTTCGGGTCTGAAGGGGTCACTGGTCCCTATGGTCCTTCCGTGGCTGGTCCTCCAGCGCCCCTCGCGTGCCCAGAGGCGCTATGTGTGCGTCACACGTGGCCGTCCCTCCGTTTTTTGCGCTCCTTGTGTCAGGAGGGGAAGAAACACAGACACAATGAATCGTCGATTCCCCAGAAAATATACGAAAATATGGGAAGTGGGGGAAGACAAACACCCAGAAAATATTATAAAATATGTGGAATCCTGTCATTTGTGTCTAATTATTTGTATGTCCCAGGGCCCCTTCATTGTGGTAGCGTGATGCTTGTGCTTCTTCTCGGAAGGTCTGGGCACCCCCCCAAAGGAAAGTCAGTGAGGGGGGGTGAGGTTCGAACCGCCCCCCTGGCGCCATCAATCAACGACGACGGCGACGGCGAGGACCACGACGACCACGACGACAACGACGACCACGACGGCGACGGCGACGGCGGCCATCACGACGACGACGACGACGACGACGTACATTGCCAGCCCGCCACACTCAATCTGGAGCCACCGCCACTCCCGCCCCCAATGAGGCGGGAGGCAGCCAAGCAACGGTGCTTCCCCCCCTCCGCCGCCGAGGTGAGCCGTGCACAGGACTACTACCTGGAGAAGCAGAGGCAGCAGCTGCGCCGCTCCGACGAGGTGGAGGATCCTGGAGTGGGGGGGCAGGGCTGGGGGCGACGTCAAGGGGGGCGGGCGGTCGGGAACCTTGGCCGCGTCGGTCGCGCCAGAGCAGCTGGCCGCTCTGCGCGCGAGCTTTCGCGCGCTAGCGCGGCCGCAGCGATGCGCCAGCCTTCGCCGAGCAGTCCTCGCAATCGCGGCCGCATGCGTTGTGCCAACCGAGCTGCGGGCGGGCGGGCGGGACGATTGCGCGAGCAGTGGAGATGACACCTCATTGCGAACACACTTCGAGTGCACCACACACAGCGCTCCACCTAGATGGTCGCGGCGCGGGTTCTGGCCCTCCGCACCTCGGCGCGCCGCGCTGCCCACGCGAGACGGCCACCGTCCAGGCGTCGGCGTGCCGAGCCCCCCGAAGCACCCCCGCCCCCCTCGGAGCGGGGCGGCACGACTTGTCGGCCTGCGGGGGGCCGCGCGTCCCCGGGGCCGCCGCCGCGCCACGCTCGGCAAGAGCTCCTGGCCGTAAGCTCAGGGCCCTCTACCTCCTCCTCCTCCTCCCCTCCCCTCCCCCTCCTCCTCCCCCCCCCTCTCCTCCTCCTCCTCCTCCATCTCTCCTCCTCCTCCTCCTCCCTCTCCCTCCTACTCCTCCTCCCCCCTCCCTCCTCCTCCTCCCTCCTCATCCTCCTCCTCCCCCTCCTCCTCCTCCTCCTCCTCCTCCTCCTCCTCTCTTCCTCCTCCTGCTCTCCTCCCTCCTCCTCTCCTCCTCCTCCTCCTCCTCCTCCTCCTCCCCCACCTTGTCTCTGCTTCTCCTCCCTTCCTCCCCCTTCCCCTCCTCCTCCCCCTCCCCCTCCTCCTCCTCTCCCCCTCCTCATCCTCTCCCCCCCCCCTCCTCCTCTCCTCCTCTCCTCCTCCTCCCCCTCCTCCCCCTCCTCCTCCTCCTCCTTCTTCTAACGCCGGGAGTCCGTGCGACCAGAAGGAGCCACTTCTGAGCGCCGCCCCAGCAGGGCCCGCCGAGGCCTTGCAAGGCCTCTGTCTCAAGCCGATCTGCTCCAACTGTCCTCCCCCCTCCGCCACGGCCAGGTCAGGGGAACCGTTCGGAGGGAGTGGGGGGAAACGATGGGCATCAGAGGGGACGGACAACAGGTTCGAGGTTCGAGGTTTTTGGTGTGTAGTTTGCATTGGTGCTCGGTAGTTTCCCAGCCCCGCGAAGCCTTCAGCGGCTGTGCCTCGTCGAGAGCGCTCGCGGGGTGCCCAGATCGTCCTGAACGGCCGCAGAAGGCCCGACCGATGTCCCGAAAGCCACAGCGTTGGCTGAGGGGCGGAGGGGATAGTCTCAGGGGGGATGCATCGACGTCCAAGCGCCATTGATCGCCACCCCGCCCAGGACCTCGCGGTGTCGCCATCGTGGTCCTATCACCGACCTATTGGCGATGCATCGCCGGTTCCAGCTCGATGGTTCCCCCCTGGAGCCGCCTCCCCCCTCCCCCTGACGTTCTGCCTTCGAGGGGGAGGAGGACGAGGAGAGGGGAGGGGCGAGCGAGGAAAGGGGAGGGACGTTGGAAGAAGAGGAGCATCAAGGGAAGTGCGGAGGGAGGGTGGGAGGGAGGGTCAGTTTTCCCGCGCGGCCCCCAAGGGGGGCGTCGAAGCACCAGGAAGCGGGAAGTCCAGGAGACGAGCCAAGCCCAAGGCGGCCCGAAGAGGCGGGAGGCGGCGGATCGGATCGGATCGGCCATCCGGGGAAGTGCCCGTCCAGGGGTCATCAGCTGGGGGGGGCTCAGCGCTGATTAGCACTACAGCCCAGGTCGCGGAGTGGGGAGGAGGGCGAGACAGGAGCGAGAGAGATAGAGAGAGAGAGAGAGAACGGGAGGCGAACTGATCACAGCATGAGGCTACACAAGTCGGCACAGCACGGGAGAGGAATGCTCCACAGGGTGCCGTAACAAGTGCACGCTACGGTGCGGTCAAGTCGCGGAAACAAGAACAACGTTGGGCTCTGGAGGGTCCTTGGTTTCGGGCGATTCTTTCGAGCCAGGTCGGAGAACCTATTCGTGGCCGTGGTTCGCCACGGCCACAGAAACCATTCGTGGCTTACTCATCGGTCCCCACCATGTTAGCACGATCGATGGCTACAGGAGGAGAAGCAGAAGGAGGAGTAGTGGTGATCAGCGAATTGGGGGGAAGATGGGGGCGGGATAGAGGAGGGATGGGGGAGGGACGAGATATTAAAGCAGTGAGGGGAGACAATTGTTAACAATGAGCGAGGAAGAGGGAATCTAATGAGCAGTAGGAAGGATGAGGGGTGATGGGAGATGAAAAGGAGGAAGAGGAGGAGGCGGAGGAGGAGGAGGAGGAGGAGGAGGAGGAGGAGGAGGGATGGTGATGACGAGGATGGTAGTGGTGTTGACTATGCCTGTGGTGGTTGATGGCTGGCGCGATGGTGAGGAGGGGGAGGAAGAGGAGGAGGAGGGGGACCGAGCTTGAGGACATCGAGGAGGAGTGGCGCTTCTACCACGAGCCCGTCGTGAGGCCGCCCAAGGGCCACCTCTGGTCCACCAGCACGGACGGCGAGGAGGTGGGCCACGGGCTCGAGGAGGGGTGGCGCGAGGCCGTGACCGCGTGGCCCAAGGAGTGGGGGGACTGAACACCATGCAGGCAACTGCCCTTCCGGCAAATCGATAACTCTTCCGCACCCTGGAAGCGTTACCTGGCACCAGGAGCCCTCCTCCTCCTCCTCCTCATCCTCCTCCTCCTCTCCTCCACCCACGAACTTCCTCCTGCCCCCTCCTCCTCCTCCTCCTCCTCCTCCTCCTCCTCCTCCTCCTCCTCCTCTCCTCCTCCTCCTCCTCCCGCGCCCCCCCCCTTCCCTCGGGGCCCAAGGCCTGTCAGGGCACAAGTCACCTGGGGTTTCCCCTCTGGGCCTTCTCCTGAGCAGGAGGAGGAGACGAGATGAGGAAGAATCCTAGATAAATCCTTAGGAATCCCTAGGACACCCGCAGGAATAGAACTGGAGTGTTTTTTTCGCGTGGCCGGGTGCTAAGATAACGCCACGGTGCGGGGGGGGCGGGATACCCTCTCGTGGACCTCCCCCTAGGACGGCCGATGAAAATCAATTTCTAGAAGGGTTTTGAATGAGAAATCTCTTCCAAGAGGCCAGCAGATCAGAAGAGAGAAAAGGAGGAGGGAGGAGGAGGAGGAGCAGAAGGAGGAGGAGGAGGAGAGGAGAGGAGGAGGAGGAGGAGGAGAGGAGGAGGAGGAGGAGGAGAGGAGGAGGAGGAGGAGGAGGAGAGGAGAAGGAGGAACAAGACAAGGAACATGAACAGGAAAAGGAGGAGAAGCAGGAGCAGGGAAAGCTTCTCAGTTGTCTCAGTTTTCTCAGCTTTCCCAGGTTTCTCAGCTTCCCCAGGTTTCTCAGCTTTCCCAGGTTTCTCAGCCTTTCCAGTTGATTCAGAACGGATCGTCGGCAGATTGTCCTGTGTCTTGCCCAGGTCAGATTGGATTCTTGATGAGATGGAAGCGTCGCTCACAAGTCTGAAGCACTGGAAGGAGAGGAGGAGATGGAGGAGGAGGAGGAGGAGGAGGAGGAAGAGAAGGAGGAGAACGAATGTTTAGGAATCTCTAGGAATCCTCAGGAATCCTGAGGACCCTGTAAGAATCCTTAGGAATCCTAACATTCATGAGGAATCCCCTGGAATTTGTGACGAGCCATTAGGAATTTAAAGGAGTCTTCTGGAATTCTGAGGAATCCACAGAAAGTTTTAGGAAGGCGCAGGAATCGTAAGGGAATCCTTAAGAATCCTAGATAAATCCTTAGGAATCCCTAGGACACCCGCAGGAATAGAACTGGAGTGTTTTTTCGCGTGGCCGGGTGCTAAGATAACGCCACGGTGCGGTGGGGGGCGGGATACCCTCTCGTGGACCTTCCCCTAGGACGGCCGATGAAAATCAATTTCTAGAAGGGTTTTGAATGAGAAATCTCTTCCAAGAGGCCAGCAGATCAGAAGAGAGAACAGGAGGAGGAGGAGGAGGAGGAGGAGGAGGAGGAGGAGGAGAAGGAGGAGGAGGAGAGGAGAGAGAAGGAGGAGGAGGAGAGGAGGAGGAGGAGGAGGAGGAGGAGGAGGAGAGGAGAAGGAGGAGCAAGACAAGGAACAGGAATTCATAAGCAGTAAAGGAAAACCTTTAGGGCTCTTAAGGAATTCTTGCGAATCTTTTGGAATTCTCCAGATTCTTGAGGAATCCTTTGGATTCCTAGGAAATATTCAGGAATCCCTGGACATCCTTTGAATCTTTTATGAATCCTGACGAATCTTTGTGAATCCGTAGGAATCCTTGAGAATCCTGCGGAACTTGTATGAAACCTGATGGATCCATTCAACTCGTTAGGAGTCATCAAATATGCTTGCGAATATTAATACTATTAACATTGCATGAATTTACCAAGCAGCAAGCGACATCCTGAGTCTTTCATGAGAGCCACGCAGATTTGAATTTCGAATTTCGATTGTGGCCCAGGGGCCGGGCCTCCGCGAATTTGTTTTGTGTCCGGGTGCTAAACCTATCGTTCGGTTATTTCGGCCCCTCGGAACATCGAATAAAAATGCGGTGCTAAGATATCGCCGGGGGGGTTCTTAAATGTTTCCTGGGGTTACGCCCGTGGGAAGAAAGTCGTGCGCCCCGGGGCCGCGGATCGAAGCGACCATGTCGACGGCTACCTGGGAATCGCGCTCCGAGGTCTGGGCCAGAGGGCCGCCGGGTGCCTCGGTGCGGCGCGACGGGTGCGAAGGCAGAGCGCGCTCTCGCGCGGCACAAGGGCGCGAAGCTGGGCTGGACAGGCCCAGCCCTCCCCCGACCTCGCCCCGGGGAAAACGCACGACGGGAGACGTTCGGGGCAGTTTCTGGCCTCCAGAGGCCCCCCGCGGTGCGCAGCGACGCCTAAGGGGCCTTTTCCGCTGATCGTGCCTTTGGCGTTGCCCATCCTTCTACAGAATCCCGCCGGGAGAGCATCAGGAACACCAAATGTCAAGGGCCCTCACTGACCGAAGGAACATTTGGAAAGTCAGGGTTCCAGGGGCTAGAGGCTTCGGCGGTCATCGACTCTTTTCTGCAGTCTTCCAGCCTCCAGAAGCGTTCCGGCAGCTGCGCCTCTCGGCGAGAGCTTTCCAGGGGGGGCCCGGATGGTCCCGAGCAGTTGCTGGAGATTCGAACTATGACGCAACAGCAGTACGACGAGGACCGTCTGCTTGGCGTGTCGCCGAGGCAGGGGCCGCAGCACGCTGAGCGAACAATCCGCACCGTGACAGCAGCCAAAAAGCCCACGGGTGCGAGGCGCGTCGGCAGACGGGGCCGAGAGACCTTCAGGGCCCCCCACGGAGTCAGAAGGCACCCGGGCAGGGAGAGGCTGGCTCGCCGTGGTCTTCGGGAGGTGGCCGGTGCGCGGCATCTCAGGGGAGGGGGCAGACGACGGAGAGGATCGGCGGCCGACGGCTGACTCTCCTCCTCTGTCGAGCGCGGCCTTCACATCAAGACGGGAGCGAAGAACACCGCGTACAGCCAGGACGCTGAAATAAGGACCGCTTTGGGTTCGGAATGAGCTAACTAGCTGTTTCGTAAGGCGTTCCGTTGTTATTTCTCTCGCCCTCCTCGTGCACCCAGGCTTCTCTTGGTGCCGAACTGGGGCTTGGTTCCTTACTTGGCGTTCCTAGTTTCAGCGGCAGTTTCTGCTGCCCCCCGTCGCTGTCGTCGCCCGCCCACTCCCTGCCCCACCGCCTTCTATTTCAGCGTGGCGAGGCTAATGGGCGGCCAGGCGGAACGCGCGCGCGGTGTCGGGGGGGGGCAGCCGCGGCACCAGCGTGTGGCTGGCCGCCCCGCGGCCTTATCTCAGGTTGACCCCCGGGTCAGCACGGTCTTCCTGGAGGCGCGATGGTCTTGCTCCTGGGGTATCCATAGAACCTCAGGTTTGGGAAAGCGTGGCCAGCACGCTCATCCTGGAGCGTCGAGGTCGTGACCGTGTGGCCTCATAGTCTTCCATGCCTCTGTTTCGGTCTGAGTTCCACAGAACCGCTTTGGGGGCGTTCCGTCAGCGTCTGCATCATCATCGGCATCATCATCATCATCATCATCATCATCATCATCATCATCAGCAGCATCAGCATCATCATCATCATCATCATCATCATCATCATCATCATCATCATCATCATCAGCATCATCATCATCATCATCATCATCATCATCATCACCACCATCACCACCATCATCATCATCATCACCTTCACCATCACCATCACCATCACCACCATCACCACCATCATCATCGGCATCAGCATCATCATCATCATCATCATCATCATCATCATCATCAGCAGCAGCAGCAGCAGCAGCAGCATCAGCATCATCGTCGTCGTCGTCATCACCGTCACCGTCACCGTCACCGTCACCGTCACCATCACCACCATCAACAGCAGCAGCATCGTCAGGATCTGCTTCCTCTTCCCGTTCGTGCCGTTCCCGGGCCCTTCGCTCACCTCGCCTCTGCCGTGGCGGCTTGCCGTCGTGGCTCGGTCGCTCTTGGCGGCCCGCAGTGCCTCCCTGGCCCTGCATTTCCCGCGGAGTGGTAGGCTCCCCTGCTCATCGCTCCTGAGTCGAGGAGCGCGTGAGCCCCCCCCACGTGCTAAGTCACCGCATTATATGCGCACTCGAGGAACCAGAGCTAACTTTTTGATTTCAGTTTCGGCCGAACTCAGACTCACGTTCCTGATGAGCCCGCCGCCGCTCATCGCTCCGCCCACTCCTTGTCATCAGCGCCGCGCCAGTCGCTGACACGCGCTTCCGCTGGCTCGCTCGCTCGCTCTTTGGCTCCTGGCGCGGCGGCCGTCCTTCGGCCGGGCCTCGGTCTGCCTCGGCCCACTGCTCGAGCGTGGCGAGGCCCCTCCTCGGGCAGTGCTCTCGCGCCGGCCCCTCCGGATGGCGCGGCGCGCCTCGAGGCTGCGCCGACCTCCCCCTCCCCAGCGTCGCTCCCCGACGAGGAGGAGGAGGAGGAGGAGGAGGAGGAGGAGGAGGAGGAGGAGGAGGAGGAGGGGGAGGAGGGGGAGAGGGGGAGAGGGGGAGAGGGAGAGAGGGGGAGAGCCCTGTGCGCAACTCGCTGCACTCTGGCCCTGCGCTCGCTACGACCGACGCGCGCGCCCGCACGGTCCGAGGCCCAAAAAGGTCTATGTGGCAAGTCCCACTGTGCAGACGGTGTGCTGACAGGAGCCAGGTCCACGCAGGAGTCCCTGGAGTGGACTTGACGAGGGCTCGAGCTGCCCTGCTGGCCACCCGCAGGGCTGGCGTCCGTCGAACAGAGGAGGTTTGGGAGTTGCTCACCCCCCACCTCGCCGCCCTCCGACGTTGCGACCCCTCCTCTTCCCTTCCCCGTGGTGTCTGCGCTTCGAGAGGGGTCGAGTGGAACTCTGGCGCCCCTCGCGCTCGCTGTGCTGCGTAGCCTTTGCCGCTTCGTCGGCACCATGCCTGCACTGCTGCGTCGGGAGGCCAAGGCACCCAAAGCCCAGCGACAGGCGTAGGTCTAACATGCGCAAGTTTTACCATTGTAGACTGACGTTGCCCCCCTCTCGATCCTGCAGCGCCGCTCGCGCACGGCGCCACGCTCGCAGCTGGGCGAGGTGCGCGTGGGCGATCTTTGTCTGGGCGGGGTCCTGAGGGAGACGGGTTCTAGACCTATTAGGATGCAACTTCGGCTGGAGTGTTTGTTTGATCTGGCCTACTCCAGCTCAGTGGCCCCTTTTATCAGCATCGGGCTTACAAGCTCGTACGTAGTCGTTCTTGCGAAGATCGGGTCGGGCGAAAGGGGGGGTTTGGGAAAGGGGGGGTTACGAAATCTGCTGCATGCAGCTGGTTTCGGCCCCGCCGCCGGGCCCATTCCTACGTGAGCTGATTCTCAAACCCCCCCTTTGCTATCCCCCCCTTCGCCCGACCCGAGAAGACACTGGGGGAGTTGTTTCCTCGGACCCCGGGGCCTCCCCCCAGGACCAGCTCTTCACCGTGAGCCGTTGTGCTAACGGCCCAGGCAGGGCCCGTGCAGGGCCCCGGGGCCCCGAGGGCGCGGAAAGGCTTCGACGGGAGCCCTTTCCGTCGGTACGCATTCGACCAATTGTGAACCCCACCCTACGGGTGCAATCGACGCTGCTGTACCAGACACCCCCGCTGGGGCCCACTTGGCTGCAGACACCCTTCGAATTCTGAACCCCAGTCCGGCGTTTTAGACGTCTGGATTGCAGGGGTAGGGTTCGCTATAGGTAATATCCTGGAGGCTTTGCGCGGCGCGCAATAGTTGCATCATCTAGTTCGCACGTCCGCCCTGTCAGACATGAGACGACGTTCGCACGGCGATGGTCCGACGTAGGTTCGACGTCACTCCGCCGCGAATCCCACGCAGACTTGACGTGCACTGGGCCTCAGGTTGCTGCTCGAGGCCTGCAGGACTCTCCCCATAGGGTCCGCATGTGGTTGCCTATCCAGGGCCCGTCTCCTCCATGCAGGAGGAGGAAAACACAGACACAATTAATCCTTGATTCCCCCGAAATGGGAAATTAGCCTGGCGAAGGTCCCAACCATATGCAGTTGTGAGTACCGTCATTGTGGGCAACGCATTCGGTGGGGCTCCCGATGGGGCTACGAAATGCTGTCCTGGGCGGGGAGACGCATGCGAACACCCCCACTGGGGCCTTCGGTAGAGCTCCCACTGGGGCCACGAAACGCTGTCCTGCGCTGGGGAGACGCATGCGAACATTCCGATTGAGGCCTTCGGTGGAGCTCCCTCTGGGGCCACGAAACGCTGTCCTGGGCGGGGGAAACGCATGCAAACACCCTCAGTGGGGCCTTCGGTGGAGCTACCTATGGGGCCACGAGACGCTGCCGTGGGTGGGGGGGGGGGCCACGAGACGCTGCCCTGGGTGGGGGACCGCATGCGGGCACCCCGACTGGGGCCTACGGGTGCAGCTCCTTATTGGGGCCACGAAGCGCAGCCCTGGGTGGGGGAACCGCATCACCCCCATTGGGGCTTCGGTGGAGCTCCCAATGGGGCACGAAAGCGCTGCCCTGGGTGGGGGAACGCATGCGAGAGC